GTAATTGAGTAGGTTACCGGATCTTGCCAAATTTCTGCTAATGGATGTGGAGGCTTGTAAGCAAGAAATGCAGGCTGTACTGTAAAGACCTAGGAGGTGTTGGGTTGTCTGCCACACACACAAGGGCTTAGGCTGCAAAACCACTGATAGCTTTTGGCGCCTTAACATGGTTTCGTAGAAACTCTTGTGTTAGTCGCAGCCACAAGAAGTGAACAGAACAAGTCAGCACTGGAATGCGGTACAGGACTGCTGTTCTTTAGACATGCTGCAGCCAGGGGATGCTTGCCACTCAGTTAAAACTGAAATAATTTCCCTAGTCTGTTTATTTTAACAAGCTACCTAAGCAAGAGCTGAGTTACCCTGGGGCAGTTACAGAACTTTGCAGTCTTCTGATGGACCATCTAAAATTAGAGCAGATTTTAATTAATTGATTTTTGTCTCAGAAACATAAGGGACAACCAGCTGAACATCACAATTTACCACTGCTACTTTGATATCTTTTGCTTTCATGTCAGAAAATATATTGGATGATAAAGTCTGAAATCACTTCCATCTCTCATTGCTTTAATTTGCTCCCATAATGATGGAAGTCATCATCCTCAAAGATTTTTTCCTTCAAACTTGGGTAGGGCCTATTATTCAAGTAAGACGGACTTAAGAGTACTGTTAGCTACTTGCTGCCAGCCAAAGGATATAATGACTTACATATGTGCAGTCATGACAGAAGCAACTGCCTATTTAAAACTGAAGAAGGAGATGCATTGTGCTGCCTTATCCTGCTTGACCGTCAAGGTTTTCAGATGTAATGGAACTATTGCATGAGTGGTGATGGAAGAGTCTTCCATTTAATTCATCGATATCAGAAAAAGTAGAGTGAAAACCTTCAAAAGCCTCCAGGGGGGGGGAGGGGGGGGATCTTTTTAAACACAAGCAAAATTTTATAGATATAATACATAAAAGTTACTCCATTTCCTCCTTCTTCTATCTGTAACATTCAAATAGACAAGAAGTTGTTTCATCCTGTTGAATGTCAAGGGAGTTGTTTCAGCTCAACTTCACCATCAAGAATACAAAAAACCTGTACGGTTTATAAGCTATTTAGGAGAGAATACTTTGGAGTTATTTGTCAGTCATCTATTTCTAGGGCCCAGTTACATTTATCAAAGACTTCAGTGAAACTTTGTTAACCCAGTAGCTCTGTTAATGACCTGTAGATTTTTTTTTTCCCCCACAGTTTCAACATACTCTTGTGATTGATTTATTGTTTGCAGAGGCTGGAGTAGTGGTGAGAGAAAGGGTGTTATTTAGAAACTAGGTCCAGAAGAAAAGTGTATTTTTTCTTATTAAAACAAACTGTACAGTGCTGCCAATAGCCCTATTCCACCTGAGGTAGGTAAGGAGATTTAAAGATCAAATTTCCTTTGATGCAAACGTCATCCTCAAATGATGGAATCTGAAACTAAACCAGTCCCATCTTTCTTTAAGGTTCAGTTTTCTATTCTTCATTTCCACCTGTACACTAAATTAATTTTCTAAATGTTTGAAGTTTGGTTTTTGAGGATGGTCCGCTTCATTTACAGAAGTGTAGAGGTAGTCTGAGTGCTTAAAGCACTTTTCTCATAAGAGGCTCCTCATGTAGACTGCGCATAGACTTCAGCTTTGGGGACTCATGGGGGCTGTAATCTGTGTTAGAAAACAGACACATGTGAAATAAATACCTTTTTCTTTCTACACATCTTTAGGTGGTGGTTTTTTTTTTTTTTAATACATCTCTATATATATTTTTTAAAAAAGATATATTTTGTAAGTTGATGCAAGCAAATAGTAATGAGTGCATTTCCTTAGAATAGAAATTAGTCTCATAATGACATGACAGTTCAGTGATTGTAAGCATGGATGCTGTTGTTCCAGACCCGTGATGGTGTGTTTCTTGCACTAGAAGAAATTGGTAGTCTAGCAGGATGCATACAGGAGCGTGTTTTGTTGATACGGGTTTTGTTTATGCTTTTTTAAAGCAATTTTTCAATATACACTGATCTAGAATGTGGTTTTCCTATTGTGAGTGCCATAAATCAAAGACAGGTTTGTTGAAAAGCTACTAACTTTTTGCAGTGGTTATAGAAGATGGCAGGGAAGATAGATTGACATTTGAAACAAGTCACTGATTGCATGCTATTTGAAGTCAGCTCACTACTGATACTAATACTAGGTTAAAATATATTCAAAGGAAAGGAGAGCTTATTTGGGAGTATGTGTAAAGATAGGTAATATAATGTCAGAGGTATCTGATTTGAGTTTTGTGGTTGTAATTCGTGTTGTAAAGATCCTGAAGCAACATGTTACTAGCAAAGCATGAGTAGAAAAGTAGAAAGAAGAAACATTACTTTGGAGGGATGGATGTCCCAGAGGAATTGTTGAAGCACCTAATCTTGAATCACTTCAAGTTTGCCTTGACAGAGCCCTAGAATAAAAATAAAATACAAAATTGCTCCTTACACTTATGATGACAGAGTGTGGGTTCCATCTCCCAAAATCTCAGGTTTTTTGCATATTAACTTCTTGCTTAAGTTCTTGTTGCAGTGTTCATGCAGAAGTGAGATCAATCTGTAGGTAGTTGGGAAAATTCTTTTTTTGTTGTTGTTGAACTTTACCCATGTAGTGTTTTACAAAGAAAGCACAGATGTAAAATCTCTTCTTTGCTTGTGCTGCTTATTTGTAAGGAAGAAGACTCAATTCTGTATTTCCAGCTGTGTCAGAGAGAGGCTCCAGAAAGCAGCCAAGGAGCTTCCCAAGAAATAAAGAATGAGCAAATTAAACCAAAGACCGATACTTGATTTCCCTTTCTTCCCCCAATCTCTCAAGGAACTTCTGGGCACCATATCATGCATTAAATTTAATCTGAGAGGTATATAATGCTTATAAATTCAAGGATTGCTTGCTATAACAGAGGGGAAAACATTATGCCATACAGAAGAAAATAAAGGAAGTGTACAAGAGAATTGTTTTGCAAACTCCTTCTGTCATTCGATTGATGCGTTGAACAAGCAGCATCTGTGCCCCTGAACGGGGATGTTGTAAAGCAAAGAGGAGGAAACGCAGCTAATAAGAATAGAAAATGTCAGAGCCAAACCTTTACTGTGTCCCTAGCCTAGGTCCTTCAGTTTAGGGGTATGGCTCTGTGATGGGCAGTGCCTTAGCTTAGCATCCCCCCTGCCCATCCCACACTTTTTTTTTTTCTTTTTGGTAAGTCAGGAGACTGAACAGGAATTGCTGTTCATAAAACTCTTGTTCTGCAATCTGCTTGCTGGCTTTTCTGTTTACTAGATAAAATGGGCTGTTACACATATGGCTATTACCTTGGTATTTTTCTACATTTACTAAAGATACAGATCTTTAAATCCAAAGAATAGGCATAATTCAGGCAATGGTAATGCAAGCCTTGACAAAACAGTACATTATCTTATTCCTGAATAATTTTGATTCACGTCCTCAAACCGTAATAATAGTGAACATAACATTTGGTAACTTTAGCACGTTAATACTTCCTTGATGATAAAAAGGTGCCTTGTTCTGAACAGGTTATAATTACTCTTCCGTCACTTAAAATTCCACCTGTCTCTCTGCTTTAATGTGAGGAAATAGCTTTCCTCAAAAAGGGGACTTTCACTATGGTTTGCGCCTTTCACCCTTACTGGTTGGCTGTTAAATGGTGAAAACAGTCAAAAAAGCCTATAACATACTGACTTAAGCAACTCCCTCCGGTTCTTCAGACTAGTTTGTGAAGATGACATATGAGAATGAGCTGAGCTTGGGGTTTAGCTAGGCTTGGAAAAAGCTAGCTAGCTTTTGTGAGGACATGTTTAGTCGAAGTATAAGTTTGTTGCTGCAGGTTTCTTCAGTTTTGTTTTCTAACTTGTGGGTAAGGCCAATTGGACCACAGTTGGTAGCACAGATTTATAATGCAGCCCTTGTGATGGGAGGGAAGCCAGGAACTAGCTGAGCAAGAAAAAGAAATGGAGCTTGAGCTGCATTGTATGTATTTGTGTCTAGAGCAGTCTCAGCCTCGCTTTTTGTTGCCTTCAAGTTCTATAGCAGCTGTGCCATGCTGATGGTGAAACAGCCTAGGAGCATTTTTGATGGTCACTGGGATTTTAGGTGGTCTTAAATGTGTTATCAGTCATTGCACTCTAGTTTTCCCGAATGGTTTAATGCAGTGGCGGGAAATGGTAATGAAAATGTTTTGGAGCCATAATGTGGATAGGGCCTAATAACTGGTGCAGATGAAGAACCAGCTAGCAGTAAAGGGAGTAAAGACTTGTGGTGATTTGCTAGGGGAGTCCATGGCTGGGTGAAGTCTTCCCCTGTAGTCCCCCCTCTGCCTTGCCTCCCCCACTTGAGATAGAGAGACCTTGGCTTGGTGTGGTTTTGAAAGATGCAACCTCTTCCGGTGTGTTGGATGAAATATATTAATTATGGAGCAGCATAGAAAATAAGAATGTCAGATTTTAAAAGCAAACATTAATAACCTCATATTGATGCTTTTACCAAGGTGAGTAAACATGACTTTTTCTTAATGAAGTCTAATTATAGATCTAATACAGAAGGAGGTGTTTAGAAAACAGCTTGCTGGGGCAGAGAGGAAAAGGTGTGAGAGCTTTTGGTGTGGTGGGTGTTGTGGCTGGTTTTTTAAAGTCTTGTTTCCACATATCATTAAGAATGGGAAGAAGCATCGAAAACTTCTGAGGAATGGAGTGAGAGAGGGAAGTAAACGTTCCAGGCAGAGTGGGAATACACAGCCAGGCTTTGCCTGCTGATGGATGGTTCTGCACAGTCATGGTACCTCTGGAAGAGGCACACGTACGGTTCCTCTGTTAAGGCTTTCCTGCTGCCCCTTAGCACCTCCCCATCTCATGCAACAAATGCTGCTTTCTGAGAATTGGTACAGGTACCGATGCCTACAACAGTGCATGTAAATTAAATATATAATGTTCTTCTTCCAGGTGGATTTGCTGAGTTCTCCAGCTCTTTCCCCGGTCTCTGTGAAGGAAAATCCACGCTTGTCCCTACTTGCATTTCTCAACCCTGCCTACCCGTCTCCAACATTGGCCCAACCAGAATCCTGCCTCATCTCTACCTTGGGTGTCAGCGGGATGTCCTCAACAAGGTGAGCATTCCGAGTGTCATGTTGTTTACATGGATGAGTGTATAAACTCCATGTGTCTTTGTCCATGCTTCTACCATACTGCATCATTACAGCTATAAAACATCTCAAGTAGATACAGATAATGGCTGTCTGTGCATAAGCCATGGAAAGCTATGTGAGAACTAATGACCATATAATTAATCCACGTGTCATGTAATATGAAACTTGGTTTCCTCTCTCCTTTATCTCAGAGAAGATGATACGGTATCTTCCTCAGTAACCTATCAACCAACAGCAAACTCTCAAATCTGCCATTATAGCTAGTGAGGTAGTTTCTTGTTTATAGCTCTGACTGGTTTGTTTTGACAAGTTCTGGATGGTAATATATTAATGGTTACAGTAGGACAAAGGAAGATTGTCTGGTTTTTAGTATTTCCTTCAAGTGCTGGAAAAAATAACACTTAAATACCATGAATTGTATAGTGAGGGACTACTGCAAACAAATCTTTGTACACCTAATAAAATGTTCAGACCTGGACAATCAGTGGGGTCACTTAAAATGAGTTTTTATGGTAGCACTGCACTAAGAAACTTTTACTGTTTCTAAATACATGTGCATTTAAACATATGCATTTAATAATTTCTGTTCCTAAAGAATAGCCCAGGACATTTTGGTATACTTAAAACAGTCAGCAAAGTCATCAAATATAGCACTTGCAGGGTGCTGGACTATCAGATGTCTAGAAGAGTTTGTCTCAAATGGCTACAGGTCTGTATTCCTATATATATCCACAGATGTTTGTCTCCATGAGGAGACCAGCTCATACTGCTTACAGTCTACATCCTGGCTGCCTTCACAAGGGAATTATTACTGCTGCTGCATGCGTCCTCTTGCCTCCAATGTTATCTGGCAGTCCTATTTATTAGTTCAATCTCCAACAGCCTTCATGAGCTGTCATTAAATACATGGATGGGGGAGAGGGGAGGAGTGCTTCACCCTAACATATTGCCTTAATTATGTGCAAGGCTTATGTGTATGGTTTTTATGCATGTATAAAGCTTAAGACAGGAACTATCCTAATAATGTCCTGTAACTGGATCAAATTCATATACTTGCACCATTATCATAATTTTCGCTGGTTTTTTCTACTTTTCGTTCCATCCCAGTCTGGCCATTAATAGGCTATTTTTGGATGTTTCACAATTGTTATAAGGGGATTTCTGAGAGGCAAGCAATCATGTAGAAGGTAACTGTGCTTTAATAGAGCACACAGGAAAAATCTTTGTACGGAGGGTAGTCAGCAGTCATTGTATTTACTTTGTCCTTTAAAATCTTCCGTGTCTTTATTGCCAGGCAGCAAGTCAGCAATTCAAACTTGATTCACTTGTGATGGATGTCAAAGCAGCTTATTACTTTTCCTACCACAAAAGTAATTTGTGGTCCCCAGACAAAAGACAGCAGGAACTAAGTAATTAAAAAAAAAAAAAAAATTCCTTGCTTTAAATGGTACGGTATTAGAAAGATGCTTTTATGCTCTTTGTTTCAATGTGTGAATGGCAAGTGCTATCCTAGGTCACAGTGGGAGTGAGGGGGTAACTTGTTCTCCTCGTTCTCCTCCAGGGCTGGGGATGTGCTATTTCGTTTGGGATGTGACTGGAACTCCAGCACTGTGGCTCTTTAGTGAATAATCCCAGAGGGATGAAAGAGGCTGTTCCCTTTCCTTGGCAGTAAATCGGTGGCTATGAATAGGTGTTGGGCACAGGCACAGTGTGTGCGCCTCACCAGGAAAGGAATCCAAGTGGTAGCAGTGGTCAGGAATTTCATTATAGGGCTGGAGGAGGCTAAAACCACAACTACTACTGGTGAGCCCTGAGTGTGGCAGAGCTGTCTACAGGTGTATTTGGTTTGCATGGCAAGGTTTTGGCGGGGGTGGAGGGGGGCTACAGGGGTGGCTTCTGTGAGAAGCTCCTAGAAGCTTCGCCCATGTCCAACAGAGCCAATGCCAGCCAGCTCCAAGACAGACCTGCCACTGGCCAAAGGTGAGCCTATCAGCAATGGTGGTAGCACCTCTGGGGTAACATATTTAAGAAAGGGAAAAAGTTACTGTGCAACACCAGTTGCAGCCGGAGAGGGGAGTGAGAATATGTGAGAGGAACAACCCTGCAGACACCAAGGTCAGTGAAGAAGGAGGGGCAGGAGGTGCTCCAGGTGCCGGAGCAGAGATTCCCCTGCAGCCCGTGGTGAAGCCCATGGTGAGGCAGGCTGTGCTCCTGCAGCCCATGGAGGCCCACAGGGGAGCAGAGATCCACCTGTAGCCTGGGGAGGACCCCACGCTGGAGCAGGTGGATGTGCCCAGAGGGGGCCGTGACCCCGTGGGAAGCCCACACTGGAGCAGGCTCCTGGCAGGACCTGTGGACCCGTGGAGAGAGAGGAGCCCACGCTGGAGCAGGTTTGCTGGCAGGACTTGTGACCCATGGGGGACCTACGCTGGAGCAGTCTGCTCCTGAAGGACTGCACCTCATGGAAGGGACCCACGCCGGAGCAGTTCTTGAAGAACTGCAGCCCATGGGAAGCACTCATGTTGGAGAAGTTCGTGGAGGGCTGTCTCCCATGTGAGGGACCCATGCTGGGGCAGGGGAAGAGTGTGAGGAGTCCTCCCCTTGAGGAGGAAGGAGTGGCAGAGACAACGTGTGATGAACTGACCGCAACCCCCCTTCCCTGTTCCCCTGCACCGCTCTAGGGGAGGAGGCAGAGAAAATCAGGAGTGAAATTGAGCCCAGGAAGAAGGGAGGGGTGGGGGGAAGGTGTTTTAAGATTTGGTTTTATTTCTTGTTATCCTACTCTGATTTGATTGGTAATAAATCAAATTAATTTCCTCAAGTCAAGTCTGTTTTGCCCATGATGATCATTGGTTAGCAATCTCCTTGTCCTTATCTCGACCCACGAGCCTTTTGTTGTATTTTTCTGCCCCTGTCCAGTTGAGGAGGGGACATGATAGCGTGGCTTGGTGGGCACCTGGCATCCAGCCAAGGTCAACCCACCACAACAGGAAGAGTTTAGACCTGGTGGTGGCTCTCTTGCCTATTAATCTACAATCTTGATATTATTTTGGCATGTGTCCATCAGACATCAGGAAGCACTGCAGCTGCAGATACTTCAGAATTAATGTAGGACCCCCAGGAGTTTGTCAGATATGTATTTCCTCACATATTCATGATCAAGGATTGCTGTGTTTTGGTGGTGGTGGGGTTTTTTTTTGTTTGTTTGGGGTTTTTTTTGTTTGTTTTGTTTTGTTTTTTTAATGGAGAACCACAAAAACAACAGCATACAAGCCACAGAAAGTTCAGTAAGTTCTTACTGCCTGGTGTTATCCTTGACAGTCAATGTTATGGAAGTTCTTTCATAGATGACTAAGGTACCTCTTAGGTTTCTTACCCATTTTAGGACAAATACACATCCTCTGATTTCAGATCTGCTTGTTGCTTATACCTTTTTCCTCTAACTTTGACGAAAGTAGGCAATGCTTTATTCTGAGCATGTCACTTATTTGCTGCATGGAAGTAGACCTTAGTGTCTTGGTAGCTTATCTTACCTCTTCAGTTTTGGTGACTGCCTGTGGAAAATCTGAAATGGCTTCCATATTTAATATTGGTACCTTTACTAACCTAAAGAAGCTGTGGGAACAAATTAAGATTTCTGCCTCTTCATTTTCCCAACTATTGGCAGCTCCTGGTTTCCTGGGTTTAATCAGTTTCTTGATTCAACTCAAAGTTAGCGGTAGCTAGAGACCAGCATGCTAGAAACATGACTGGCAGATCTCTGCTGCTTGCTTTGCTTCTGGGGAGGCCTGGATCCTATGCAGGGGTATTGGGGGAGAGCAAGGAGGATGTCTCTTGCTACAGTGAGTGCCCAGAAATATTGGTACATGGTTAAGAAACCTGGGAAGTGAAGAACGTTCAAAAGAGGAGGGTGAGAAACAAAAACCAGGGATAAGTAGCAAAGTTTTTTTTTTCTCTGTTAGGACAGTCTAGGGGTTGCTAAGTGGTTACGTATGCATGCTCTGGTTTAATGGTCTTGCTGGTTTGTTGGCTACTGGAGACAAGGAGTCAGCCTTCTGTTAAGATTAGAATAGGATTTTTTTATTCAAGTCCAGATTTTTTAAAAATAATTTTCTGAAAAATTCTAGTAAGATTCCCCAGACTATTAAGATGTAGTTGTATACATTGACCTTATTTTTGCCTTCAAATGCTATCTGTGAGTTCCCCGATTCCTTTCATTTACCAGGCATACTCATTTCTCTGAAATTTAAATGTCTCAAATATCTGCAAAAAGAACTCTGAATCTGCACTGCTGTTCAACCTGATGATTTAAAGATGTGAATTTTCAGCATGTTTTATCAAGATGAGCTTATCTTTTCAGGATCTTTATAAGCTTATCTCTGAGTGCAGGGGTAGGGAAATGCTTGTCTTGTTGCAGGGCAATCTATATTCATGGCCTTTTAAGAATACTAACGTTATTTGCCATTAATACCTCTGCTGATAACACTTTATTTATGGAAGGTATGCAAACACAGATGCTTGGTTTGTGTCCTTTAGCAAAATTAATGATTACTTCAGAAAAGTCTTAGGCGTTTCTTTGTATTTTTACTTTACAGATTTCTTTCTAAATGCTTGATTCTGAAAATGTTCATAATACTTTTTTGCAGGGTTGAAATACTAAAAATTGCATAAAAGTTCTGACCTGGCATTTCCATGTGTTCTTTAGTAATTTGGTGATCAGTGCTGCTACTTTACCTAAATGCACATATTTACAAAATGCGGACTTTTTTCATGATTAACTACTTTATTTCACTCTGGCTAACAGAAAAGTTAATTTCAGTTTTTGGGTCCCAGTGTGTTATATTAGTGGCATCACCGAGAGGATACATATTTTGACAGGAGATCTTTGTTGATCTTTGGGAAAAAAAGACAAACTAAATTCTAACCTATACAGGACGGGAGTGACAGTTTTCTTAAAGGAAGTTAGTATAACAGAAAAAAAAAATCTATGTTGTGGTTGAAGGCCTGAACGAACCTCCTACTTACATCTCATGTTTTCTACCAGTATTTAAACTGTAAAACTTTCTGCTTTGCAACTTACATAACTATTCTCTTTCTTTTCTTCCAGACCTGGATTTTATTTCCTGGAACAAAATAACATTTTAGGGTGCCATTAATTTTCAGATTAAACAAGTCATAAAATATAAATAAGCTGACAAAAGAGCATTTACCTTCTTTTCACAAAGTTGTTAGTATTAGGATTTCTGGATCTTCCTCCCATCCTAATTCACTTCTTCCTCTTGGGTGCCTTACAATGAAGGCACTGTTATGGTTATTATATTGGAGAGTGTTGCACAGGGAATGATTGATACTTTAGAACAGAAGGAAGCATAACTTCTTTCTTTAGCCTTAGTCTCAACGACAAGCACTAACACATTTTTTTGGTGTTTTTTTGGCTCAGAGATTTCAGACTTGGCATCTGCAGCCTTCTCGTTCCCGTTTGAATAATCAATTCCACATCACAAACCTTGCATAACTGTGGAATCATGATGGCTGGACTATGCGGCCCACCAGTGCTCATGCTTTAAAAGAAATAATAAGGCTTTCCGTTCTTCTTCTAAATTCATCAGCCTCCCCTTAGCTATACTCTGAACAAACATGCATCATAGCAGTGCATTTGTTAGCGATACCTTCATCGCCTCCCTCCTTTATACATGACAATGTTCATGGCTCTGCATGTACTTTTGTACCGCTGTTCCAGTTGTTCCTTGCTGACCTTCAAGCACGAACAACAGTAGGCGTGAGGCATGTTCTCCATAGGAATAATTTGCAAGAACAGAAGAGGACATTTGGTTGAAGTTAATCGTGCTGTCTCCCTTATATCTAGCAGTCTGGAAAGAGTTTCATAGATGAACAAAAGTGAGACAAATGCAGCTCTCGGTGAGCCGGTTTGGGGGCAATGTTTCAACGTAGACATCTAAAGCAGTACTTACTTTATGGAAGTTGATGCTGAAGAGCTTGGGATCCTACAAGAGGAAAGCTGTGTAGCCCAGGACAGCGAGGCAGAGATGCTGGGGATTGGGGGGGTCTCCCTTGCACACGGAAGATACCGCAGGTCTAGCAGTAGTTAGTCCTCTATGCCGAGACCCCATTCCCAATACCCTCCCTCTCTGGATAATTCCAAATATTCCCGTACTTCCTTACAGTGCTCCTGCTTTTAAACTTTTAGGTGTATCGGTGTGTGAGAGCTAAATAGGAAAGTGCAACGGAGTCAGCTGTGAAAGGCATGCGGGGCTGAAGGGAGCTTGCTGGTTCAGGTGAGGAGATAGGAAGGAAGGGAGAGGGGGGGAAATCAGTGACATCAATGACAACAAATTCCAGTTTGAGAAGCTGAGCTTTACTGGGAGCGTGATGTAGGAAACTAGCAGGGTAAGAGGCAGTAAGGCTGAGAACTTATTTTGACACATCCAGCCTTTTTTCTCTTTTCTTTTTCTCTCTTTTCTTTTTCTCTTTCCTTTCTCTATTTACCATTGTTGCAAATTATATTTCTGGTGATTTGCTTTGCAAGTAACTGGTCATCTCCTGTTCCCCTTGAATGGGTAATTTTATGATATAATGTTATGTTCATTAGTTTAAGGTGCCCACACCTTCATGCACCTCTGAATGTGCTTTTGTGAGGGACTTTGGATGAAGGTTTGGAGGAGCTGCTCATTTTGCTCCAGGCAACAAAATTCAGCTCGCTAGCAGAGATTCATGTAAATTCCCTGTTTAAAATGCAGCCAGTAGCAGTTGTATACACTTGCTTCTGTAAATGACTGAGGTAGATTCCCTTCTCCTCTGCAGTCCTTTGTTCTCACTGAACATTTAATTTGTGCATGCATATATGTGTGTGTGTGTGAGTAGTCATCCCTTCTATATACGCACTATAACATACATGTGGTGTACCTGTATACTAAATATCACACATTATTTAAACTGTTCTGATTTGAACAATATAGAGTTCTGGCTCTTCAGCTAACTAGCCCATATCCCTGTTTCTCTTCACCAAAACGTCTTTACACATGCAGAAAAAAATACATATGGGGAAGAAGCGATCATTTGTCTTCACGACTGTATTTTCATACTGGTAGTCCTCCAGCTGAAATCTGCAGCGTAAGAATTCTTTCTTGCCACTGCTCCCATGGATTGACATAACTTTTCCTTTTTATATCATTGCTATAAAAGCAACAGGATTAAAATCGGGGGGGTGGGGGTGGGGGTTGGCTTTTTTTCTGTTTCAGTTTAGTTTCGTACATTAGTTTCCATAGAAATCTGGCCAAAAGCTCCCCAATGTTTGTATTCAGTGTAACTACTGTCCAAGCATAGTATTGCATGTCACTTACTGCCAAATCATATCTGAACCAGAAAAGTTGTTCGATCAGTATTACTCCAACCTGCCTAACTGCTTTTCTGTGTCAAGATGCTTACTTGCAGGAGACTGGATGGTTTTGGTTGAGCCATCTCTAGTTTTCTAGTACTTGTTTCACATGTTTTGGCACTAAGGTACCTACTGCATCAGACACCACTTTGCACAACTCTCAATACAAAGAGTATGGCAAGGTGCCGAAAAGAGGTGTCTCTTAATTTGCAATCATGAAAATTGACTTATTTAAAAAGCCCAGTTGACTCTTATACTTTGAATCTCTTTGCTTGTTGCTGCGATAATCTCTGAGGTGCAAGAGGAGTGAAGACTGACAACTGAAATACGAGCAACTAAATCGTAACCCACAAAGCGGAACTCCTGTAAAGCTGCAGTTAGTGCTGTGTGAAAATGGTCTAATTCAAGGTCTTCAGCTCTTACTCAGCTCTTTCTCTCAAGGTTTTGAGTGAGTTTTACACGTTGCCTTAGAAACAAGGAAGTCCCGGACGCTTTAAGAGGTGACTGCAGGAGGCATTGGTTTCATTTCGCATTTCTCACCAGTATCCGTGATGGGGCAACCTCAGTCTTAGATACGTGATCCAGAAAACGTGTATTCAAGTCAGCAAACTACATGTGGAAACTGCTTGGTTATGCTGTCAGCTTGCAAAGTGGGAATTTAAACCAAAAGGCAAAATATTCATTCTCTTGGAAGTGATGCTTCAGAGTAGCAGAAGGTATTCTACCATTATTTCTGTTGTTAACTTTGTTTGTGTGGGCTTTGCAGTCCATACGTTATTTGGACACACTGGATGTGTCGCTAAAGTTGTTTGAAGAATTACAAGCTGAGGAATTCTTTTTTTCAAAAAAGAATGCCCCTAGTAAAGCTAGAGCAATTCCAACATGAATTCCAGTTTGGGTTTTAGCTTTATGATGTGCTTTGGGTTCATAGTTTCTTTGTAACATGCCAAAGGTACCATTTGACTTCTCTAGGCTTAATCTTTCTCTCTTTCCTAGGAGCTGATGCAGCAGAATGATATTGGCTACGTCCTAAATGCCAGCAATACTTGTCCAAAGCCTGATTTTATTCCAGAATCCCATTTCCTGAGAGTGCCTGTGAATGACAGCTTTTGTGAGAAAATTTTGCCTTGGTTGGATAAATCAGTTGATTTTATAGGTGAGAAGAAAATTTGAATTCTCTCTAGAACAGTTTCTGGATTCTTTTGTGTGTCTGCCTTGCTGGTTTGGCTGGAGAAGACCTGAATGCCTTCTGGGTGGTATGAAAATACCCTAAGGATCTATGTACATGATCACCATCGCTTTAGGAGCACAGAAGCAAAATAACGTAGGGAGATTCTGCCACTGCGTGTTCCAGCACTTACGGAACAAAGACACTTTTTAAGAGCACAACTCTGCTTTCTGGCAACCTAGCAGATGCCTGATACACGCCTGTAGAGAGCGAATTAGACAATCGGACATACAGATCCTGTCTTTAGCTTTGAGAAGTGAGCTAGCCAAATTTGAGCTGGCCAAATTGTTCCATCATGAATGCTTACTTTTTACTTGCACATAAAATTAGAAACAATCACCTTTCCCAGACATCTAAATAGGGTTGTTTATGTGCACATTAAAATGCGGTATGCTGTAACTGCAGTATATTTCCTGTGTGTAGTCACATGCTTTTTCTATACTCAATGCTATACAGTGCTAGAGAAAATAAGTGATTTTTGTTTAAAGCTTCCATGAGATTTGCAATTAGCCATTAATTTGGAAGTTTTGAACAATTTTAAATAACATTGCTTTCTTTGCAAACTTTTTATCGTGGTATAATGCTGTTGAGTGTGACACTTGCCAATTTCTTTGCTATGCAGAAAAAGCAAAAGCATCAAATGGCCGAGTGTTAGTGCACTGTTTAGCTGGAATATCTCGCTCCGCCACAATCGCTATTGCATATATCATGAAGAGAATGGATATGTCCTTAGACGAAGCTTACAGGTAAGGAGAAAATTTCCCTTCGTGTTAATTCTTGTGCCTGTTGGCTTGTTTTTAAGGTGAAGAATAAAAGGTTATATGACCAAGGGTAGAAGCAGACATCTTACTTTATCCGGTAGTTCACTGGCCTCTGCACACTCCTATTTTAAATGTAGACTTCCTCCATAAACAAATCAGTGGTGTTGCGTAGACATCACACACCTAATACTAATTCCCCACCTGCAAAATGCTGATGTTGGTCTTTGCTCTGAGTAGGCAAATACTTGGAATTTAAACTGCTTATTATTAAATGTGTGTGTATGTACATGCATACACGCACACAGCTATAGCACAAATACAACAATACCTTGTAAGTCAGAGAGAGAATGGAATGGACAGGGTTAAAGAAAGAGAACTGAGATTATTTATAATCACGCTTACGACAGATGCTAGGCTGGAGCTCTTGACTTCAGTTTGGTATTTGGTAATGCTCTCAAAGAACTGCCGCAGGTGAAATGTCTAGGAATTAAGAAAGCTTCTTTGTTGCTATTAAACTCAAGTGGAAAGTATTTTGAAGTGTTGGCTCTTTGTGGCATCAGGGAATTTTTGTGGGACCACCCTCCCACACCCCCCCTTTTTTAACCTTTCAAATCCCATGTTTCTGTACTTGGATTGTGAACACTTTACTAGATTCCAGGTGGCTTGGTTGCATTTACCATGACTTCCCTATTTCATTTAACAACCTCCTTTGTTGAAAATTATTGTTTTCTTTTTGATGGGCTTTATATGCTAGCTGGCACAGCTGACGCATCGCTGTAGCGTGCGTGGTGCAGAAGCAATTTGAACAATTGCGCTGGAGCAGGTGGAGAAGAGTACCTTCCGAATCGCTACTGTGTTTGCTACTACTATCTCTAAAACACTGATGAGGACAGAAAGATGAACATTTGATATTCCTTTGTGGCGAGTGATTGCCATGGGGCATTTTCTTTTAAGCTGATGAACGTGATTATGTATGCAGTGAAAAAAGTGCATGTAAGAGGTGCCTGAACTACAACCATCCCATGGTCTTTAGAAATTTTCCATGGTTTCTTACTAGAGCCTGCTGACAGTTTGGTGTTGAACAGTAATTTCAACACGTAGGGGGAAACAGGTTTGGTTAAGAGGCGTAGACAAAAGTTACATGTATAGATAATATGGATGAATTAGTGGATGTGGATGGATACTGTGCAAGGTATGAGCTTGATTCACTAAAAAAACCTGTCTGGGCTCAGGCTGTAGTGGTCTGGAGGTTAAGCTGTCAAGTACTCAACACTGTTAAGATGCACATGCTTCAGGGGACTTCTAAAGTGCTGCTTCTAAATTCCTCTGTGAAATCTCTGCCTTAAATTCTAGTTTGTTTCTTAACTAGAAGTGTCAACTGAGTGAAGGATTAATCATCCTAGGCCTTTTTTCTTTGCACTGTTAATACTGAACAACTGCTGTGAAATATAGATTATATTTTGCTGTATTTCCTTTGATATGGCTTAGTGAGAACAGCCTGCAGCACGTTTCACTCATTGGTTTGGGGTCTCTTGTTGGCAAAGCTTGAAAGAACAATACTTTTCTCTGAGTTAATGGAAGTCATTAGATAAAATGTTTGTCTGACGCTGTTACAAAAATAAAAAGGTGACACTGTTACTTGAAGTGCAAGATCTGAGGAAATAAACGGTTTTAATCTTTTCTTTTGTATAATGGATGATACAAGGGAAACAAACATCAAAATTAAATGTTATACATATTTTCCAATTGGAAAAAAGAGTGTGCATTTTGAAATGAAAAAGTTTGCAAAGCCTTAAAACTTGTTGGAGGGATCCGTCAGACTTTCTTGAACTAGCTTGTCATTTTTTAAAAAGCTAGTTTTACATTTAGGACTGCCCAATATTTTGGGGTGAGACAAGGAGAAAGTGGAAGGGAGAGGCTTCCAGAACACAGGCCAGAAACGGCAGTGTTGACCAGAAGGATCTTGCTTTAAATAGTAAATCCAATAACAAGTACAACTAGCTTTGACTGGAAAAGAATGAATGAAGACTTTATCAATTCTTGTGAGCGAATTGCTTACACTGGAATAAAAGCCCTCCAGTTCAGTGCTAGATTGACCTAAAGAATCTCTTCTGAGGTGACTTAACTATTTTTTCTCCATTTGGCAGTGATGGCACTTCATGGTGGAAGTTTCCACTATCACTTCACACAAGCTGATCTTCCAGGTCATCATGTCGGCTCGACTATTCATACTATTATTTGGTTTTTGGCAACTTTAAAAAAAAAAAAAAAAGCAAGTTTTGTTTGGTATTTTTCATGTGCTTGGTTGCATTTGTGCTAGTGTATACATATATGCACAAGTACACCTTCAAATTTTTTCATGCTGTTTTTAATGACTGGACGCTCACCTTCCGTACACAGCCCCAGAGATAATTTTTTTGCTTTTAATAATACTTAATTTTCCCAGTGATACATTATATGTGTGTTTGGCTCTTCAAGGTTTCTTTCCTCATTAATTCCCTTGTCATCTGGTACCTTCATAGTTCCAGGAATGGTTTAAAAAAAAAAAAAAAGAGGAAGGGTTTGGGCAGCTTTCTGTTTTACAGCCTGTAAAAAGCGAAGAGTACTTATTTAGCTATATCGCAAATCAGACAGGTAGGCCGTACTGCTTTTGTATTTAACTTTGAAGTATATGACATGACTTCTAATACTTAAGTCTTTCATACACTTAGAGTCCTGGTTCAGGAAAACATTTTAAGTATGCATTGCACCTTGTCCATATTCAACTGAATATGTAAGTGCATGCTTAGACTGGCACGTGTATGTGAGTCGGGCTGCTTCCTACCGGACTCGAAAATAGGTTAACTTTTCCAGTGATTTGGCAATACTGTTGCCCTTACTGCTGAACACCTACAGAGCTGGAGAGAACGTTTTTGTTTTAATGCTGCATTTGCTCCTTTCTGTTTTTCTTTTTGATGATCATTATCAGCGGTCAATACCAATGTATGGTAGAAATCACCGGCATTTGCTGTATAAGGTCAGCATATATCAGAGCACTTTGTCTTGCCTGACAAAGATAAGCAGGGTAGGAAGCACTCACTGCAGTAACAGCGGCATGAGAGAGGTGAAAGGACTGCGGGGTTTCGTCCCTTTGAGCAGTGGGGAAGGTGGTCTGCTTTCTGCAGTGCAGGGGAGGCTAAGGTCTCCTGGCTGGAGCTCTCATGCTTTTCATGCAGAACTTGAGGAGCTCTTACCTCTGGTCAAAAACCGAGGTAGCAGAGATCCCACTGGTGAAATGAAATTTCAAGCATTGGAACAGGCTGCCCAGAGAGGTGGTGGAGTCACCATCCCTGGAGGTGTTCAAAAAACAGGTAGATGTGGCACTTCGGGACATGGTTTAGTCTAGTCTGCCCTTGATTGGTTTAGTGTGGACTTGGTAGTGTTGGTTAATGGTTGTACTGGATGATCTTCAAGGTCTTTTCCAACCTAAATGATTCTGATTCTATGATTCTATAAATAAGGAAAATTAGTCCCTCAAATCTTGTGGACATCATAAAGAGGTAAAAAGAATGGCGCTGCGCCCC